CACATAGATTTGGTATGGTTCAATATTGTTGCTTTATCATCCTTGAGCCTAACTGAGAACCTAATATTCAGCATCCTATCATTTGTTGGTTGACAAGGAATACTTGTATCTAACCTAACATTTACACTTAACCTAGTGGGAGACCTCTTCCCTATGCTAATGTTACTTGTTCTTTCATTTGGCACGTATACTTAGCCATAGGATATCTCTTCCTAAAGTTTCGATTCCTTTTATCCTCTATAACTGGCTCTCAATTTATTTAACTCTTGATGTTGCAAATCATTGGTCTCCTTTGGAGAAGATGGACAACAGGTTCTTTGAGTACAGGTGTTGAAATGTATACTTAATTCTTAACATAAAGGGGCAATATGAAGGAGTGATGCTTAAACAGAGGAGCAGCACTGTGCTGGATACATATTCGGTACTCGGTTACTATAGTGTTTGGTGGATGCATGTTAGTAACGTTTGGTCCTCCTTGTTCATTTCAAATTTATTTGAGTTCATCTGCAAAATGTTTGCTGAAGTCACACATATGAAGATATTTTTACTAAAAGCTTGATTGGTCAAAGATAGTTGTTTATTCTTTTACATTTAATGTCCTAAGTTAAATGTTTTTACTCGCTGTTTCATTTTAGACTTGATGCTCAACTATTTTCTTTCTCACCATTTCACATGTCATTACTAAGGAGTTTTTTGAATGAACAATATACTCATAAATATTTTATGACATGTTTGCAGATATTTTTTCTTCAAGGGAGATTTATATTCGGCCCTGATGTGAGATCATTATTTCTCACGATATTTCTTATTGTCGCTCCTGTTGCTGTTTTTTGTGTATATGTTGCCAGAAAGCTAATGGATCATTTTGCTCATCATCTTGGGATATCTATAATGTTAGTTGCTGTTGCATTCACCTTATATGTGAGTATTATGAGATAGATAGATGGTTTTAACTTTTTAAAATATAAACATGAACACAATCTAAATCGCAAATGACCATCACTAGACATTCTGAAAACCTTAATATTGGAAACTACAATTAAGTACCTTTTCATACACATCTCAACTACCAATGTAAGTTTCTCAAGGGTTAAAGAAATGATAGGTTTTGTTTCCCAGGATCTAGCTCTTCTTCTACTTACTTCTGGAAGAGATCCGGGTATCATTCCTCGTAACGCACACCCACCAGAGCCTGAAGTTTATGATGGAAACACGGAAGTTGGGGGAGTTCAAACACCACAATTACGGTTACCTCGAACAAAGGATGTCACTGTTAATGGAATGACGGTGAAAATTAAGTATTGTGATACTTGCATGCTTTATCGACCTCCTCGGTGTTCACATTGTTCAATCTGTAACAACTGTGTACAGCGGTTTGACCATCACTGCCCTTGGGTGGGGCAGTGCATTGGACTTGTGAGTGCAATTACTCGGATTTAGTTTTTCTTTAAGTATATAAATGATGATAAACTGTTTTTTGTACTAGTTTGATGCCGATATAAATGAAATCAGTACTATCATTTTTAATAATTCTTCTTATTCATTGTTGCTACTTGACTAAGTCCATATCTCTGGTCCTCCTAATTTATGCAGTTCATGTTGGTTATTGTTAGTTGGGGTTTCTGTATTCATTTAATCTTAAACTGTTTTTGCCAGTAATCTTGAAAATGTTAACTGATTCCTGATAATGTGTGAAATGTTGAGTTATTTAGATAGTAATTAGACAATGTTGTAAGGACCTATTTGTAATAGTGCACTTATATAAAAGGGGTACCTCTCTATGATAGAGACTAACCCTAATTTTTCCAAAACACTACATGGTATCAGAGCTGTGGCGGCTCCTCTTGAAGCTATCGGCTTGTTCGAGCTCTTCAATCAAACACCAATTCCCTTCCACCGATTCTCCCTCCTGAGTCGACTCCTTGATTTCCGCCCCCAGCGCTGCCGCCTCCGCTGAGGACCCGCTGCCCTGCCCTAGGTGAGGACGACGCTGCCCTAGGTGAGGACGACGCTGAACTCGACGGACGACGATTCCATTCCGACGAGTCCCCTGACCTAGGGTTCTGTAGCCCTCGGATTTGAAGGAGGACTGGTGATTGAGGGCTGGACTGGCCATCGATTTCTTTTTGAAGGAGGCTTGAAGGAGGTGTTGTTCTTTTGAAGGGCTGGTGCGACATTTTTTCCTTTTGGCAGCGTCGATGGCAGTTGGGCTGGAGAGACTTAGCCAGAGAATCTCAGTTGGGGAATTGTGACATTTTTAAATTACTTTCTTAGGTGTTGTTGCTGGAAGAGAGGGGAATCACCTGGGAAGAGAGGGGAATCAACTGTGAAGATGGGAACAAGAAACTAGAGGAGCTGAAGGAGATCCTGTGACAAGTCAGTTAATTGTGAAGATGGGAACACCTGTTACAAGTCAAGAATTAAAGGAGATCCTCGAGGGGGTGGCCAGAGTATTTCAGACCAAACTAGAGGAGAATTCTAGTAGGTCGGTTGTGACCACATCGGAGTCGACGCAGGTAATGGAGAGGGTAAAGTTGCTGCCGAATGACATCAAGCTTGAGGGGACAAGAAACTATCTGAGTTGGTCTCGGAGGGCATTGCTGAACCTTCGAATCAAAGGACTTGAAAAGCATGTGAAGGGGGAATGCATTGAGCCGGAGAATAAGACGAGTGCTGAGTGGAACACATGGAGTAATACTAATTCTCTGGTGGTTTCTTGGTTGTTGACTTCTGTGTCTCCAACCATAGCTGGGATGGTGGAGTCTATCTCAAGTGCAGCTGATGTCTGGAGGACATTGGAGGGGATGTACTCTGGAGCTGGGAGTGTGATGATGATGATGGAAGTGGAGGAGAAGATTGATGCTACCACACAAGGGGAGAAGACAGTCCACCAGTATGCAGCAGAGCTACGTCACTTATGGGCGGATTTGGATCACTATGATCCATTATCGCTACAAAACCCGGCAGATGTTCTTTTGGGGAGACAATATTTTGAGCGCAGGCGTGTGGCTCGTTTTCTTAAGGGTTTGAACCCAAAGTTTGAGGGGAGGAGGGCAGCAATGTGCCATCTGTCATCTCTTCCCTCTTTGGATGAGGCTATTGCATCGATGGAACAAGAGGAGATCAGACAGAAGGTGATGACAGGTGAGGCTTCACCTGCTGTCCGCTCGGCATTGGTGGTTCCGGATGCTCACATCAGAGATGATAGAGAGTGCTATAACTGTGGAAAGAAAGGACATCTCAGCTACAATTGCCCTCAACCCCGTAACACTGGTGGCAACCGAGGAGGCAGAGGACAGAGAGGTGGCCGTGCAGGTCGAGGAGGCAGGGGACGTGGAGGCCGAGGAGTTGCTCACCTAGCTGTGGCAGATGAGTCCCAGGCTACTATTGGGATGACTGGAGCTGAAATAACAGAACTGGAGGAACTACGTCTGTTCAAGCTTCAGGCTGAGAGTTCGAAGGGCAAGGGACAAGTTACCCAGGATCTGGATACCACTACATGCTTTGGTAACTTCATTGGTTATGCTCATGCAAACAAAGGTACACAGGTTCAGGCACTTGCATCCACTAAAACTCATGTTGATTGGATCATAGACTCAGGTGCATCTAGGCATGTCACAGGAGCATCTAGTGAGTTTGCATTATATTATCCGAGTAAGCATATACACCCTGAGACGGTTCAGACTGCTGATGGGACATCCCAACCCATCAGGGGTACTGGCTCGGTCCATTGCACTTCATCTGTTACCTTATCATCTGTATTGCATGTTCCTTCGTTTCCAGTTAACTTACTCTCAGTTAGCTCTCTTATTGATCAATTAAATTGCACCGTGTTATTTGATCGAGATTTTGCTGTTAGCGGAGGGCCAGAGGCAGAAGCGATGCTTCAACATTGCCGGTTAGGGCATTTATCTTTTGAGAGTTTGAATAGATTAGAACCTGAGTTAATGAAGAAAGTGGATAGAAAAGAGTTATTTTGTAATGCCTGTGAACTTGGAAAGCATACTCGTTCTACTTATAAAATGATTGGTCTACAAAGTTGTGAACCATTTGCACTTGTCCATTCTGATGTTTGGGGACCATGTCCTACCACCTCTATTAGTGGCTTTAGATGGTTTGTTACTTTCATTGATTGTTATTCACGTATGGTCTGGATATACATGATGAAACAGAAATTTACTTTCATTGATTGTTATTCACGTATGGTCTGGATATACATGATGAAACAGAAATCTGAGGTTTACAAATGTTTTCAAGACTTCTCGGCCTATGTGAAGACACAGTTTGGAGTGCAGGTGAAGATTCTCCGAACAGATAATGGGACTGAGTATGTTAACAAGGAGTTTGCCTCTTTCATCTCTAGTCAGGGAATCCTTCATCAAACCACCTGTCCAGACACTCCTGCTCAGAATGTGGTAGCTGAACGTAAGAATAGACATCTACTAGAAGTGGCCCGCTCATTGATGTTGACAATGAATGTGCCTAAGTTTTTATGGAGTGAGGCTGTCATGACAGCAGCTTATTTGATCAATAGGATGCCATCAAGAGTATTAGGGATGAAGACATCGTGTGAGATGCTCTTGGGCTCGAATATTTTTGTTGTTCCACCAAGAGTGTTTGGATGCACATGTTATGTGAGAGATCACAGATTGATGGTGGGTAAACTGGATCCACAAGCAGTTAAATGTATCTTTGTTGGCTACTCATCAAGCCAAAAAGGATACAAGTGTTGGTGTCCTACTGAAAGAAAGTTGTTTGTCAGTATGGATGTTACTTTTCGGGAGTTTGAACCTTTTTATGGGGAGAAGACGGAGTTGAGTTCCTTGTTTGGAGATGACTTTACTGATGCTAGTAAAGAGGGGGAGAATGAGAATGAAAATGAGAATGAGAATGAGAATGACGTCGTGGTTGGGATGATTCCATGTCCTCTTGAGTCACCGAGTAGTGATGGTACACCGCCGAGTAGTGGTGGCGACTCAGGAGGTGACAGCCAAGGTCAGGGGGAGCTGAGAGTGTACACGAGGAGACAGAAACAACAGCATGAGCCGCCTCCTGTGCCTATACCAGTGCCCACAAATGTTGATGTCCCAAGTCCCTCCTCTCCAGTGACTTCTCCACCTGAGTCGATAGGTAACGAGTTCTTCCCTGATATTTCTAATACTCCTGTCTTGTCCCGCAGAACCTCTAGAGTCAATGCTGGAAAACCTCCGGCTAGGTTTGGTAGTTGGGATACTGACATTGCGAATTACATTTCATATGCATCCATTCCACCCGCATATAAGTCATTCATTGCATCATTGCATTCCGTGTCTGTACCTAACAACTGGCAGGTCGCTAAGCAAGACCCCAGGTGGTTGAGTGCCATGCAAGAGGAACTTCGGGCCTTGAAGAAGAATGATACATGGGAGCTGGTACCTTTGCCAGCTGGGAAGCGTGCTGTTGGATGTAGTGGGTGTATACGGTTAAGCAAACTCCAGAGGGCAAGATCGACAGATATAAAGCCAGATTGGTTGCTAAAGGCTACAGTCAAACGTATGGCATTGACTATGACGAGACATTTGCTCCAGTAGCAAAGATGAGCACTGTTAGAGTGTTGGTGTCATGTGCTGCCAACTTTAATTGGCCACTACATCAGCTAGATGTCAAGAATGCCTTTTTGCATGGAGATCTCCAGGAGGAGGTGTATATGGAGATTCCACCAGGCTTTGCTACTTCTCAAGTAGCTGGGAAGGTGTGCAAGTTGAAGAAGTCTTTGTATGGGTTAAAACAGTCTCCAAGAGCATGGTTTGACAGATTCAGGTTAGCAGTCTGTGGTATGGGGTACAAGCAGTGCAATGGGGATCATACTGTGTTCTACAGGCACTCCAAAACTCGTATCACTATTCTGGCGGTCTATGTTGATGATATTGTAATCACTGGAGATGATGTTGAAGAAATCCTACGGTTGAAGAAGAAATTGGGAGAGGAATTTGAAGTTAAAGATCTGGGGCAGTTAAAATACTTCCTCGGAATTGAAATTGCAAGGTCGCGAAAGGGTATAGTGCTTTCTCAGCGGAAGTATGCTCTGGATCTTTTCTCAGAGACAGGAATGTTGGGGTGCAGAGTTGCATCTACTCCTATCGAGCAGAATCATAAGATGTGTGCCGAGGGTGGTGACCCAGTGAGTAAAGAGCAATATCAAAGACTAGTTGGACGACTTATATATTTATGCCATACGAGACCTGATATCACTCATGCCGTGAGTGTGGTGAGTAGATACATGCATGATCCCAGAGAGCAGCATATGGATGCAGTTCGCAGAATTCTTAGATATATTAAGGAAAGCCCAGGAAAGGGGTTGTGGTTCAGAAGTTCTAGACATCTGAGAATTGAAGGCTACTGTGATGCTGATTGGGCGGGTTGTATGGATGATCGTAGGTCCACTACAGGCTACTGTGTATTTGTTGGAGGTAATCTCGTATCTTGGCGTAGCAAGAAGCAAGATGTGGTGGCTAGGTCTACAGCTGAGGCAGAGTACAGGGCTATGGCAGTTGGTTTGTGCGAGCTGATGTGGGTCAAAAACATATTATCTGAGCTGCGTCTGTTTAGAAGAGATTCCTTACAACTTTGGTGTGACAACAAATCGGCGATTAATATTGCAAACAATCCAGTTCAGCATGATCGCACCAAACATGTGGAGATCGATCGGTTCTTTATCAAGGAGCAACTGAATAGAGGAGTACTGACTTTGAAATATGTGAAATCAGAAGAGCAGTTAGCTGATTGTTTAACAAAAGGATTAAGTTCTAGAGAGTATGATATCTTTTGTAACAAGATGGGGATGATTGATATCTATCGCCCATCTTGAGGGGGAGTGTTGAGTTATTTAGATAGTAATTAGACAATATTGTAAGGACCTATTTGTAATAGTGCACTTATATAAAAGGGGTACCTCTCTATGATAGAGACTAACCCTAATTTTTCCAAAACACTACAAATCTCATGAAAGAAAGAATTGGAGAATTTAAAAAGATTAGTCTTTGTGTGTTTGAATGAACTATAAAAATTAGTGATAGCAGTTTAGAACTGGTTGGGCTTCCATATAGGAAAATTGTTATATTATTACAGGGACAAGGCAATAGCTTTTTTATGGGATGAAAAACTTTCAGACAACATAAACTCTCTCTGTAGCATTATATATTCTTGTATTTGCGTGCTAATTAGTAGCAGAATTAACTAGTTCTGCAAACATGGGCAGATAGATGTTAGCTGAATGGTTATATATGTAATGTAGTTTAATATATCAAGTAGCAAATGATTTAGGTTAGTATTTTGTCCAGTTAGTTCGTCAAATCAAGTGAAATGAGCTTTTTATTATTTTGAATATATTTTTGGCACTACTAATACTCCAGATCTCTCATGCTTGATTGGATCATGCTTGATTTAACATCTTACTCTATGATAAGAAATGAAAAATGGTGCATGCTTATTACATTTATATGTTTGAATCCGTTTCAAACTGTTGCCAATTGTTTTCCGACGCATCTCTCTTGAACTCTTCCCTAAATTCAAACTTATGAATAGTTTCTGATAGTTGAATTCGTAACTGATGTATTTACCTATGTAATCCATTGACTTTCTGCTTACATGAAGGTATTCTTTTGGACCTTGAGTCATATAAAATGGGCAAGGAACTCTTAAAAGTTCTTTCTTTTGTCTTTGCTAATCAAAAAATGGATATAAAATGGGCAAGGAACTCTTAAAAGTTCTTTCTTTTGACTTTGCTAATCAAAAAATGGTTAAGTCATCAATTTCTACTAGTTAACATATTGGTGTTACTTCGGTCTTGACGCCCATATAAAATTTTGACATGTTAGTCTTCCAGAGGCTGATACCTTACATATCTAATAAATTTTACTAATATTTATATGTTCTCATATGCAATTATTAGCGATGTCAGTACAATGAATTAAGACATCCACCTAATATAGTCTTATTTTTTCATGCTTTGATATGTAATTGGAGTATCAAAACTGTCATCCGTGTTGTATAACATGCTTTAGGTCGAAGGATGTAAAGGCTCTAAAAGAGACTCCTTTGCAATGCAGAGAATTTAAAAGTTCCCTACTTCACTTAAACTTTATAGTTCTCTTGCAATCATTTTTCTTGATCGGCAACAGGTTTCCCTAGCGAGGCATCAACTTGTTATCGGGAATTTAAATAAAAACATTCTTCTGCTGCAATACTATCAATTCTTCCAACTGATCTACTGTTATCTTCAATGCAGCGAAACTATCGATTCTTCTATATGTTTGTTTTCTCCACAACTCTTCTTTGCGTCTATGTCTTTTCTTTCTGCTGGATCTACATCAAGAAAATCATGGACGCTGAGCAAACTACTGTATGGAGAGCAATGGCCAAGACTCCCGCTTCCATCATTCTCCTAATCTACACTTTCATATCAGTATGGTTCGTTGGAGGCCTCTCTGTCTTTCATTTATATCTCATGAGCACTAACCAGGTAAACATTTCATTCATATCACTTTAGTCTCCAACAGAAGGCTTATTTTCACTTTGGTACCCACAGTTTACCCATATTTTAGTTTTGATACCCCAAGTATTTTTTTCGATACTTTGATACCCCCAAAGTATTTTTTTAATGCTTTGATATCCCAAGTTTCAATACTATTTCATTTTGAGACCCCTGTCCAGATTCTGTTATCTTCTGTTAAAATTGTATCACATACTTATCATGCGATCCATTTAGGTCAATAATACCCATTTCATGAAAAATAATTCCCCCCACATTTTTGTGACTATTGTTTTTAGCATGATGAACTATTGTCCCAATTATACTTTGTGTGATTCTAGTGTAGAAATGGGTGGGAGTATAATTGACCTAAATATATCTCACGTGTCAGGGACATGATACAATTGTAATAGAAAAATGTAAAGAAATCTGGACAAGTATTAAGGTGAAATGGAATTAAAACTTGGGGTATCAAAAATGGTAAAATTTGGAGTACACAAGGGAAAATAAGCCCTAAGAGAATAATATTCTAATATTTATTTTCTTTTTCCTATTGAAGACAACATATGAAAACTTCCGCTATCGATATGATCGACGTTCAAACCCTTACAACATAGGATTAGTGAATAACTTCAAAGAGGTATTCTTCACAAGCATCCCACCCTCTAAGAACAAGTTCCGGGCTAGGGCTCATGGAGATAAAGGGTTTAATGCTCGTGCAGTGAGCGGTGGAGGGTTTATGAGCCCGAACATGGGGAATGGGGTCGGAGATATGGAAGTAGGAAGGAAGGCAGTGGCTTGGGACGGTGAAATAGAAGGAAATGGAAGTGATTTAGAGGTAGGTGTGAATAATGAGATGATAGAAGATAAAGATGGTGTTGGTGTTGGTGTTGGATTTCCCAGTCCTTCGCCAGATTTGAATCAAGTTAGGGTAACGACGGAGTCAAACCCTAGACAAGGTAGCTGGGGCCGGAGAGGTGGGAATTGGGATATGCCACCGGAGACGCTAGGATTATCTGCCAGAGTTGGAGGATCAGAATTGGGGAATGAGGGAGTTAGATAGGATTTGTGTATGTTGAGTTTGAGTTAACTTAGGGTTTGACGATGTGGGATGGTTTGGGAGAGTGAAATTGGTTTTGATGATAGGAAGAGATTGAGCATCATTGTATTTTATGGTCTGTAGTTTCTCTTTGCTGATGTTTTTGTGTGCATTTTTTCTTCATTTGTTGGTTGTTGCAGTCTGAAATGGCTTTGGCTTGTGGTTTTCTCTGAGTTTTGTCTTGTGGTTTTCTCTAAGTTTGAGTGTGAATCTCTCAATATGTGCTTTCATTTTTATTTTTTTTTATTTTTTTAGTTGTTGTTTCTGCAAATATGACTGGATTAGATGGGGTTTGTGGGTGTAGAGTTGAAGGGATCTGGTGATCTTGAGCTTGTTTAGTTTTTGATGGTAGCATCAGAAGAATGCAGTTTTCTTACTCTTTTAGAGTCTCTCTTTGCTGATGCATTCTATATATTCCTTTATTTTCATCATTTATTGGTCATTGCAGTTATGAAATGGCTTTGACTTGTGTTTTTTCTTCGAGTTTGGGTGTGAATCTCTTTATATGTGCTTTCGTTTTTGTTATTGTTGTGAAGATATGTGATTAAATTTGGGGGAAAAAATAAATAAATCTGTTTTAGCTGGACTGGGGGTTTTTGGGAGTTTCTTGTGGGTGACTGTCTTTGTGTTAACTAGTGTGGTTTTAACTTGGTATCAAATTTCCTTGAAGGCATCAAGAGGCGCATAGGTAGGAGATCAATCACTAACGACCGGCCAGGCTGTGTTACTTGCTTCTAAGTTATCAAGGGGTAAATTGCACATAAACCCCCTAAGCTATCCTTCAGTAGCAATTAAAGATCCCTCAATTTATTTAATAGCACTTAACATCTTGAATTGTCATTTTTAAAAGACAAATCGCAAGCAACGCGCTCTTCGTCGTGATTGAGTGAGGCTAAGTGCTCATGAATGGGAGTAGAGGGGTACTAAGTGCAATTGAATGCATACATGAGAGGGGTTATGTGGAATTTAACCCTTTCATTGTAGGCAATCTATTTTTCTTGTTGAAGTCATTTTGAGGAAATCATGAGCAAAATTGCAGCACAGCCTGATGCTTCAATTCCTTCGAAGTTAAACCATCTAACAGAAAATATAATGAAATATGGACGGGGTATTCAAGTGAAATGGATTTGACACCTTGGAGTAGCAAAATGTTAAAAACTCATTTGCGGTATCAAAGTGAAAAAAGAGAGAAACTTTATGGTACCAAAGTGAAAACTAGCCCCGAAAAAGAAAAAGCAAAGTGCAAACATTTGCTTATGAAATATTTTTATATGTATCCGTAAGGATACATATATAGTTACTAACATCTATATCTGATAGGATGTATAGTTACGAATATGGATATATAGTGAAATATCCGAATATGGATATATAGTGAAATATCCGAATTCACATCCGAAAGTATTTGATTATACGTTGTTCATAAAGTTGCAATAGTTTTAATCCTTAAATTAATGGATTAAGGTTAATTATAATGATAAGGAGATCTAATCTTAACTTTTAAGATATAACAAACATGTTAATAAACTCCCTTGTATTAAATAAACTATATTTTTCCAATATTATGTAGTTTGCTCATTTTCAATTTACACACACAAACATGCTTTATGAACGCCTGTATATGTGAACTCTAACATATTTTCTTCTCCAATATTTATCTAGTTTGCTCATATCCATTTTACATATTTTTGTCAATGCGTACTCGTACTCTTAGTTACATCTGTGATTGTTAAAATAAATGGTTATACAAACTTAATTTAAGATGATATCAGAGCAATCCGGATTCAAATACCACTTGCCATAAATTTAAAGTAGATTTTCTAAAAACCGGCAACGTAACTTGAGTACAGTTTTCAGCTCATAATAAAATGCTTGACCTATGAGAACATTATGTTAGAATATAAAATAATCTCTAACTCTCACCGTAACTTTGGAATTATCATCTAATCATTAGGTGGACCGAATTTAAGGGTGATTGATAAAGACGCGTATATAATAAATGCCCGTATCTTAGCTCTACCCGACCTGTTTGCACCTCTATTTACTTGAAGAAGAAATACGAAGGAAAGACCAATGGGCAAATGACTTGCAGAGCTTCATTAAAAATTTTATAACTAAAAAAAAAAAGAAAAAAACAGCAGAACATGGAGAGCAAGACAAGGTGCCACAAAAAATATGTGATAAGAGATTCTCTGCAACAAAATTTGTTTGGTTCAGTCAGAAAAAACAATCATAGAGGACGATCACGGGAAAGCTGGTTTTTGTTTTTCATCGCAGTCGAGGTTTCGGTTCTTTACGCCAACGATGGAGAGAAGAACGCGTGGGCGTGCTCGGTTTTTTGCGCTTCTCTGATTGCTTTGCTTCATAATTCTCTGAGTTGTATTTTTGTTTGCTTTGTTTCATAATTCTCTAGTTGTGCTGAGCGTCATTAATGATGATCAGCTCATTATGCAATAGGAGAAATGTTGAATTTAAATCTAATTAAATCTATTTGTGGGCACATATGATTAATCAATGTGTATTACTATCTTTAAGGATAACCCACTAAAGTGATCAATCAATTTGGGTTAATAGGTATTTAAATATATCATGGGGTTATATGTGCAGATACCAGGTTGTAATTGTAATTTGATGAGGGGCCAAATTACAAATATACAACACCTATATATATAAGGGGTTATGGTCCCTAATCTAGGGTTAACCACTCTCATTCTCTTATCCCCATCTAAAGAGATCCATAAGAGAGAAACCCTAAGGTTAGAAGATCATCAAAACCCTAATCAAGTTTTCTTCAATGGATTCAGGTATATGCTTCCGCACCTTTTGATTCTTGTTAATCTCTTTGAATTAAATCATGGCTTTATGGTTTAGATCTCAAGTTTTTTTATTAGATCTAACAAGTGGTATCAGAGCCACCATTGATTTGTTCTAAGAGATTAAGATTAAAATTAGGGTTCTTTAATCTTAATTTGTGTTTGATTCGGATCCGTTCACGGATGAACAGTAAAGTTTCTTATTTTCGGATGAACAGTAGCCGTTTTTTCGGTGAACAGTAAATTTTTTAATTTTCGGGAGAACAGGAAAAAATTTATTTTCGGATTAACAGTAAAGATTTTTATTTTCGGATGAATAGTAAAATTCTCATGTTGTTTGGTTTTTCTTTCGATTTTTGGATCTGTAGCATTTATGAACTCTAAAGTTCATTTCTTTTGTGTTTGATTCAATTTTTGAGGTTTGGATCTAAATGATTTGAGTTCAAAAATCGACAGAAAAAAAATAATTATCTTTTTTTTTGAGATTTTTTGATTTGTCGTCAATCTCCAAAACTCCTCGTCGGAGTTGATTCAGCGGCGGCGGTTTCAAATTAAACCCTCAAGGGGTTCGTGCACGTGAAAACGTGCTAAAATTAAGGAGGTAGTTACCTCAATTTTTGGCGAGAAAACTTGCTAAAATTAAGGAGGTGGTTACCTCAATTTTTGGCGAGAAAACGTGCTAAAATTAAGGAGGTGGTTACCTCAATTTTTGGCGAGGCTTGAAAGCTTCAAAGGAACCTTGCGTTCGTTCTAAAACGAACCCACGTTCATTCTCTAATGAAACATGCGTTCGTCAAACGCTGCATTCGTTGACGCTGCGTTCGTTGACGCTACGTTCGTTCTCAAACGAACATTGCATTCAAACGAACATTGCGTTCATTCGTTCATTGCGTTCAAACGAACATTGTGTTCATTCGTTCATTGTGTTCAAGTCGAACATTGCGTTCATTCTCAGGTCGAACATCACATTTGTTTTCAGACGAACATTGCGTTCGTGCTCAAGTTGAACATTGCGTTCATTCTCAGGTCAAACATCGCGTTCGTTTTTCAAACGAACCTCGCGTTCGTTCTCAAGTTGAACCCTGCGTTCATTTTTCAAACGAACCTCGCGTTCATTCTCAAGTAGAACATCACGTTCATTTTCAGACGAACCTCGAGTTCGTGCTTAAGTGAGTCTCGTACTCAATACAGTCGAAACCTGCGTTCGTCGAAACCTGCGGCGAGCCTCGTGCTCAGTCAAACGAACCTTGCGTTCGTTCCAAAACGAGCCTTGCGTTTGTTCCAAAATGAGCCTTGCGTTCATTCTGGTGTCCCTTGTTTAAACATTGGCCTTGACTTGAGAATTTTATTAAGAATTTGGACCTGTATTTAATTATCAGGTATAAGCTCCTTAAGCTCGTTTTAGGCACAAGGATTAATTGAATTTATCAATTAAATCCTATTTGTGGGTCATAATTCGTTATGGGTCCATAATTAAGCTATGAAATTCAGTTGATTTAAATTAAACTATTTAATTTAAATTAAATTTGGTAGTGGATCAATTAGTTATTTCAAATAATATGACACTAAGGTATTAAAGTTGTCTTTCATTCTAAATGATCGATTGAAACAAGAAGTTGCCAAAGTAACATCTCTTGTGTAGATTGTTCATGAGGGATGTTAGATGTTTGTGTGTATGTTTTCGTGTAAATATTTAATCGGCCCAAAGGAAGGTTATTATTTATTTTTAGATTGCATACGCATCTGTGATGATAAATACGTGACGATTATAAGGTTTACATGTGGATAATGAATTGATCCAAAGATAGTTTCATTATTTGACATGCGTTATTGTCAGTATTTGATCATTGCAACAAGGTATCACTGCGTTATTGTCAGTATTTGATCATTGCAACAAGGTATCACTTGCAATTAATATTACTGTCCAAAGACTTGATATTAATGTTGTACCAGATATCTTGAGATGTGATTTATCATTATTTGAATTTTATTGATCACTAATTAAGGTTAAAAAATCTTTTGTTTATTTCAGCTAATGCATCTGCTGCAACAATTTCTGCTAACATCAACTCAATTCCCATGCTCAATGGGACTAATTTCAAGGTTTGGAAAGAGAACATTTTAATTGTACTGAACAACCTCAATCTCTCAATGCGGATAGCACTCCTGATGCAAAGAAGGAGTATGAGAAATGGGAGCGTTCAAATCGCATGAGTCTAATGATCATTAAGCGCGGCATTCCGGAAGCCTTCAGGGGCATAGAATCCGAAGGGATTACTAAGGCTAAAAATTTTATTGCCAAAATTAAGAAACGTTTTGCGAAAAACGATAAGGTAGAAACAATCACACTTTTAGCTCGCTTGATTTCAATGAAGTATAAGGGCAAAGGAAATATCAGGGAGTACATTATGAAAATGTCTCATATTGCTTCAAAGCTTAAGGTACTTAAACTCGATCTTTGTGATGAGTTATTGGTACATCTGGTTCTGTTGTCTCTTCCTGCACAATTCAATCAGTTTAAGGTCAGTTATAACTGCCAAAAAGAGAAATAGACTCTTAATGAGCTCATTTCATACTGTGTGGCAAGAAGAAGACAAGTTGAAGCAAGATAAGACTGAAAATGCTCATTTGGCCTATGCCTCTAAGGATAAGGGCAAGAAAAGAAAGAACGATAATGAAGCTGCTAAGGGTCCTGTTCAGAAGAAACAACATAAGGATGGTCAGGGTTGTTTCTTCTGTAATAAGTCTGGACACGTAAAGAAGGATTGTACAAAATATCACGCCTGGCGTGCTAAGAAGGGGCTGCCTGAGCTACCGGAAGCCAAGTGATGGTGAAAAATACATCTTTGTGGGCGATGGTCAGTCAGTAGATGTGGAAGCAATTGGACACTTTAGGTTGCTGTTAGGAACTGGTTCATATTTGGATTTAAAAGATACTTTTGTAGTACCGTCTTTTAGACGGAATTTGATTTCAGTTTCTGTATTGGACAAATCAGGTTACTCTTGTTCATTTGGAAACAATCAATTTAATTTATCTTTTAATTCAATTATTGTAGGAACTGGTTACTTGAGTACTTGTGACAACCTATATTTGCTTGATACAATTGCTTCTTACAATGAATCCTTGCATGTGGAATCACGTGGTACTAAGCGTAAATTAAATAAGAAAAATTCAGCGATAATTTACATATTTGGGGATGTCCAGCTGAGACAAGGCCTTATAGGCTAAATGAAAAGAAATTGGACTCCAAAATAGTTAGCAGCTACTTTATTGGGTACTCTGAACGCTCTAGGGGCTATAAGTTTTATGATCCCACACTAAGGAATATTTTTGAGACGGGAACAACAACATTCTTTGAGGATGTTGAGTTTGGGGGGAGAAATAAGGTTAGAGACATTAGTTTTGAGGAGGAATTGGCTTCAGATCCAATCCATACAGTTACTTTTGATAATATTCAGGTTCCTATACCTGTTGTTGCTCAAGAAGTAAATCTGGAACCTCAAGATGATAATGTTGAACAAATCCCTGTTCTAGAAGAACAAACTCAACAACCTCAAGAACCACCAGTGCCATTAAGGAGATCCACGAGAGAAAGGAGAAATGCTATTCCAGATGATTTTATTATATTTCTCCAAGAACATGAGGAAAGTAGTGGAATGTTGGAAGATGATCCAATCAACTTCCTCCAGGCCATGAAAAGTTCTAACTTTCAACAATGGATTAATGCCATGAATGAAGAGTACAAGTCTATGCAAGACAATAAGGTTTGGAAACTTGTCCCATTACCAGAAGGGCCATGAATGAAGAGTACAAGTCTATGCAAGACAATAAGGTTTGGAAACTTGTCCCATTACCAGAAGGTGCAAAACCAATTGGTTGTAAATGGATTTTTAAAACCAAGCGGGATGCAAATGGTAATATGGAGAGATATAAGGCACGTCTTGTAGCTAAAAGCTTTACTCAAAAGGAAGGTATTGATTATACAGAGTCTTTCTCTCCGGTTTCATCGAAAGACTCTTTCAGAACAATCATGACACTTGTTGCTCATTATGATCTTGAGTTACATCAGATGGATGTTAAGACTGCATTTCTCAATGGCGACATTGATGAGATGATTTATATGGTGCAACCAGAAAACTTTGTGTCAGGAGACCCGAAGAATATGGTTTGCAAATTAAGGAAATCCATCTATGGACTCAAGCAAGCTTCTCGTCAATTATATCATAAGTTTCAACAAATAATCATCTCGTTCAGTTTTGAGATGAACATTGTTGATGACTGTGTATATCACAAGTTCAGTGGGAGTAAGTATATTTTTCTGGTTCTGTATGTTGATGACATATTGCTTGCCACTAATGATATAGGCATGTTGCACGAAACCAAGAGATTTCTATCAAAGAATTTTGAGATGAAAGATCTTGGGGACGCCTCTTTTATATTAGGAATCCAGATATATCGAGATCGTTCCCGGGGTATTCTTGGATTATCAGATCCTCTTACTAAAGGATTGCACATTGGGACAAACTCCATGATAGCAGATCCTCTTACTAAAGGATTGCCATCCAAGGTCTTTCATGAGCATACTACTCATATGGGTGTGGTGTTATTCAAGGATATCCTGATTTAGTGGGAGTTTATAATTTTCTGGTGCTTTGTGTTTGGTTGTATTGTCTGATCAGAATAAAGTATTCAGTTAAGACACTCTGTTTTATTATGTTTGGTTTTGACCTCACTAAAGGAGGACCAGTTGAAAATAGACATGTATTGATCACATTGCATGTAATTTTCATGCTGCACATCCATGTTTGATCTAAGTCGTTTGATTGTATTGATATATGTGACCTTTGATGGGTCGAGTCACGATAAATGTGACGAAGGCCGCTTTGATCCTATATTGATATAGTCAATAGACGAGATTGTTTGGAAATACCTTTTCAGTGATAGCAATTTTGAGCTCATAAGGTTATACACAATTTTAAGGAATCATATGGTGCCCAAGTGGGAGATTGTTGGATTTAAATCTAATTAAATCTATTTGTGGGTACATATGATTAATCAATGTGTATTACTATCTTTAAGGATAACCCACTAAAGTGATCAATCAATTTGGGTTAATAGGTATTTAAATATATCATGGGGTTATATGTGCAGATATCAGGTTGTAATTGTAATTTGATGATGGGCCAAATTACAAATATACAACACCTATATATATAAGGGGTTATGGTCCCTAATCTAGGGTTAACCACTCTCATTCTCTTATCCCCATCTAAAGAGATCCATAAGAGAGAAACCCTAAGGTTAGAAGATCATCAAAACCCTAATCAAGTTTTCTTCAATGGATTCAGGTATATGCTTCCGCACCTTTTGATTCTTGTTAATCTCTTTGAATTAAATCATGGCTTTATGGTTTAGATCTCAAGTTTTTTTTATTAGATCTAACAAGGGAGACACCTCACATGTCCCCATTGTTGATCCCATATTTTGGGTCTTTAAATTTTTTTTCTATAATTGATAAGTATAAAATGAGTTTAGGTTTGTTAAAAATAAATAAATTTTAGTGTAGTTGGGGAATAATGCGTTAAGTCGGCACTGTCATCCTCCTCCTGATACCCTTTGTGCTTCGCTCAAGTTGTATGCTAGCAAACAGCATAATATGTAGGAGAAAACTAGTATAAAACACTGGCTTCTATCTCTTCTTAGTGACACCATCGCTGGGTTTTGGGAGCAAGTAATATAATAGAGACTGGAGATGTTAAGTCCTTCAGTTACAAAAAAAAAAAAAAACAGAGGAGTTATCCTCTGTTTTCTTCTATTCCCGTGCATAATTTATTAAATTGTTTTATAAATATAAGGTTTCTCTTTCTTCTTGAAATAGATCTTTCGACTTGTCATGTATAAATCTTTTTTTTTTAATTTTTTGCTCCCCTTCAATACCCAGATCCTGTTTATCATTCTTTTTCTAGTACTAAGGAAAGGACACGGACTAATAGAATGAACTTCACTACTGATGATAATCAAGTACTAAACCAAATTATTACATTACTACATAATCTCCTAATGTACAGGGATAATGATCAACTACAACTAAGTAACATAAAATGAAGAGCTACGTACACGATAGAAACTAGCATATAATAGAAATGGTCAGTCTCTCTCTCTCTCTCTCTCTCTCTCTCTCTCGATCAACTACAACTAAGTAACATAAAATGAAGAGCTACGTACACGATAGAAACTAGCATATAATAGAAATGGTCAGTCTCTCTCTCTCTCTCTCTCTCTCTCTCTCTCATGCAAAGTTGATATGCACACAAATGCCATCGATCATCTTCTCTCTCTCTCTCTCTCTCTCTCTCTCTCATGCAAAGTTGATATGCACACAAATGCCATCGATCATCTCCTCAAAGGAGCGAACCAAACACTTGCATGCATTGCTCATCAACATCTCTACACTGTATCCTTCTTGTCGTCTTCCCCTTTCTCTTCTTCCTCGATCTTCGACTCCGCGACGCTAACGTCGATCTCTTCAACGGTTTGAGGAGCGATTTGGGTCTCACTGTGCTTCGGGGTTGAGACTATGAACTCCGGCAGCTTATCGTCTTTCATGTTCAACTCCTTTGCATCCTTGTAGACTATGTAGAGAACCATTTGAACAAGCCCAAAGCTGAACCCCAGAATGTTTGGTATCTATTTTAACCAACAAGAACAAGAAATTAGAAGAATTGATATAACATAATTTAAGGCAATATATAACCATGGAGGTCTATCACAATTAACCCCCAAAAAATATCGACTGATGGATACATTACCGCAATATAAATGTCCTTTGTGCATAGGCCATAGGAGAACCATACTACGGCGCTCAATGTGAGGAAGAACGATAGAGAGAAAGGCATGAATTCTACGCTCTTTGTCCTGATGACTTGCCTCTGTAATATTTGAAAGAAACGCTAGTAAGATATAACTGACGAATATTAAACATGTATGTATGTATGTATGTTTGTGTGTATGTATATCCTTACAATTATGCTCAATGGGGCAGCAAAAACGCTCACGGCAAAACCCACACATATCCACCCAAGGAGTTTCACACGGTGAGGACCCTTGGCAAGCAAAAGAGTCGATAGAACAATCAACGAGAACACTCCCACATTCAACACCAATATCACTTTCGTCGCATAAATCTACAACAAACATAAACATAACAGCAAAAACATTATAAATACTGAAACAAGTTCCCTAAAGACTAAGGTCGGAGCTCACATACCTTGATCTTTTTTGGGGCATAAGCAAGGAACATGGCAATGTATATGGTCTCAACGACACATCCGAATGAGTTGATGGTGATGAGGAGATACTCATCGGTCTTGATGAACGCGTAGTATATCCATAGCATTGCGCTGAATAATGCCATGATGTAGGGTTCTGATTGAAACCCTTCAGTTGATTTCTTTCGATATACTCGATAAAATGTTGGTCTGTTTGAAATAACAGTAGTGATATATATTGTCATAATGTTAGATGATATGCGTTTGATTAATATATGATAAGATGAGAGTCTATGTAGAAGAGAGATGCAGGATAGATTCTTACATCGGGGCAAGGTACACCGCGAATGAGATCAAGTTTCCTGCGAAGCATATTAAGAAAAATTGAAGCCATTTAGTAATTTATATATCCCAAAATTTATATTATCAAATAAAATCTAGAATGTTATTGGCGAGTTTATAGTTTGTGCCAACGTGCAAATTATGAAGCTAGCTAGAGTGATTATGTCATCCTAATTAGTAAGGAAAAGTATAGCTAAGCTAATGATTAGTTTGTCAACTTACTAGAAAAAGAGACTCTGGGCCTTTCTTTATTTAAATAATTCTTTCTTAATTATTTTAAAGGAAAAGTTTGGCTCCAAGATCTTCTCGCTCAAAACCCCTTACAATAACGTCATACCGTGCGAGAGGAAATCCAAGGGGAAAGCTACCATGTTATATCTAAATTAACCTTTGGTTTATTTTCTACAAGGTAAATCATCCCATGTAGAGAACTGTCACCTCTCTCTTAAAAGAGAAATAAAACTTAATGAAAGGGGGGGGGCGGGGGGTCACCTAGCAAGAACTCAAAAGCAAGCCCGAAGTGATCCAAGGATAATCCGGCCATCTCGCTTAGTTAGAAGAATGAAACAATTAATCCAACGAATGAAGCACTACTTAAGAAAGAAGAAGATATATATCAAGAGGAGGAGGAATGCAAGCTTGATGAAGGCTTTTTTCTCTCTCTCTCTCTCTCTCTCTCTCTCTCTCTTCTCCTTCCTATGAGAAGGAAAGAAAGAAAGAAGAAAAAGCTATATATGTAAGCCTTGAGAACTCTTTCCTTCTTCTCGTTGCTTCCCTTCTCTTTGCATGTTGAAGTGGCGAAGGGCCCCCCTTATATAGGAGATCCTGGCGTGTGCGTGGGTGGGCGGG